TGCTAATAAATATTTACTGTTAATAAAGAAATGATGAAAATAGTTTATGAACAGGTGACTAAGAATATGGAATAATTAGTTATTAAAAGATACTTGTTTGTACGGTATTGATAAGGAAACTTCTCAGGAAAACACATCTTTATAATGAGGCTTTCTTCCTTTGATTGGCAGACTACTACCTAAACTAGTTGATGCATATGGGCCTTAAATTAAAACTGCTTTGTAAAGCAATCATATTCTAAATTAGCAGCTTGAATTTTAGTACAAGTACTATGCTTAAAATTCTGCCAAATTTGAGTGCTGAGTCTGTGAGGGGGTGCGGTTTGAGGTGCTAGGGGTACAGCAGCAAACAAGATGGACCAAAAGCCCTGCCTCGTGGAACTTACAATTTAGTGGTGGGGGCAGATATACTCAAGTCAACAAGTAAAAGAGATAGCACGTCAGGTGGTAATAAAGGTAACAGGAAAAAAGGGAGGAGAGGGATAGGGAATTTAGCTCAGGGGTAGAAGGGGGAATGAAGTTTCAAATAGGCAATGGGGTGCCCCCCTGCCCCCTCCAGGACATCTGAGCCAAGACCTGAAGGAGGAGGGAGAAAGAGCCACGCAGTTGGCTGGGCCAGGAGCATTCCAGGGAGCAACGCGTTTCTAGCAATATAACTTGAAAGGATTGGTGGATTACTTCTGGACAGGCAGTCTAGCTGCTGCATTCCTTGTCACTTTCAATTAACCATGAGTACACCCAGCTAGCTCATCAAAGAGACTCTCCTGCCTCTCCCTTCTGGCAGCCAGGGACGGATACCCGGGTTGGTGCCAAAGCCGCCACGCTGGACCAGCCGCCACCGCTGGAAGCAGAGGAGGCAGCCCCACCCGCTCCTCCTTGGGTCTCTGCCGGGTGGTGAGAGCTGTAACCCTTACCCTCCCTGTCCCCAGTAGCCCTATTCCCTGCCCACTTCATCTAAAGGGGCATTAAAGTTTACTATTGCTCCTTTTGTACCTGGTGAGGCTGTGCTCTGAGAAAGGGCTCTCTCATTTAGAAGTAAAATCACCCACTCTTGCAGTCCTTTGAATGCAAAGAATGTCATCTTTCAAATTTTAAAAAGTATTAGGATTCTGTTGTGGATGCTAAGTCCTCGAAGCTGTTATATTTGGAGTGAGGGTGTTAACAAAGAAGTATATCTGAATATTTGTTCATTGCTATGTATATCTAAATTACATTGGCACTTGTAGTTTCTGATCACCTGCTCCTGCTCTAACTGATGACTTGCTGACTCTTTGCCAAGCCTGTGGATAAGAAAGCACAATTACAAGGAGGACGCTGTAAACTCCATGAGGGCAGGACTGTATCTGTTTTTCTCACCATTATATCCTCAGTGCCTACCTTAGTGCCTAGCGCATAGGAGACACTCAGTAAATGCTGATGAATAAATGCATGACTCCACAGATGACAGCTTCTGTGCAGAGAGGAAAGACTTTTACGCTAGAGTGGGAGGGCGCAAGCGTTGAGACCACAACGTCTGAAGTTGGAGAGGTAAGATGGAGCATGAGCTATGATTCCTCCCCCTCTGAGATCCTGGGCACCCAAGCGAAGTGTACATTTAAGCCCAAGGGCAGGGTAGGGGTGGGGAGATGAGTGTGAGAAAAATCACTGGCACAGGGTCCCTTCTGCTCCCAACCACCCACACCTCCCCACCCCCGCCAAACCCCCACAGGTGTTGGATTACTTTGGTCAATTTACTTAGCCCCTTGGAGACTAAGTTTCATCACCTGTAAAATGGGGATAATTCTGACTTTACAGGATTGCTGTGAAAATTAAGTAGGATAATGAATACAGAGCCCTTGGCACAGAGACTACTACTATAAACAAGTCATGATAGACCCTCACTGTTTCACTGATGTGCACACTGAGGAGCAACGTACATGGCTGGGAGCCGGGATCTGGAGCCAGACTGCCAGGGCTGGAAGCTATCACTTACAGAAGAAAGGTCTTAAGAAAGTTACTGAACTGCTCTGTGAAACAATCTCCTCATCTGTGAAAAAGAGGACAAGGATGCTTATCTCACGGTGTTGTTCTGAGGATTAAGTCACTTAATAAATGTAAACCACTTAGAACAGTACTGGCAAACCAGCCTCATCACTGTGGCTTGGCGTTTTTCCTGTGTGTTTCCCACTTCCATCCCTCTAGGGCTCTAACAACAGATATGTTGATGGGATGATGGGGGAGTTCATGTTGGATGGCCTGGGTCCACGTCTCATTTCAATACTGGTTCTGAAACTCACATGTGCATTGGATTCCCCCTGAGGGCTTGCTGAAACACAGGTCGTGGGGGCCCCACCCTCAGAGCTTCTGATTCAGTAGCTCAGGTTGGGGCTTGAGATGTGGTATTTCGAACAAGTTCCCAGATGGTGTGGATGCTGCTGATCCAGAGACCACACTCTGAGAACCACTGGGATGTAACAAGAAAGGACGTCAGAAGCTCCAGAAGAAGAAGGATGCACAGAGGGAAAGGAGTTTTGGAACCATCCAAACAGGACTGAGTTATAGGCACTAGCAGAAAGAATAATTTGTTCATTTATTCATTCAACAAACATTTACTCACTGCCCACTGTGAGCAGGGTCCTGTATTCAACTGGTTACAAGGACCAAGATTTAGCCAAACGGTGAATTAGAGAGAACTACCAATTTATGGAATTAAGGCAGAAAACATCAAGAAGCCATGTCCCCATTGGCCTAACTCAGGCATTATTTTTGTGTGTATGTTAGAATATATATAACATGAGATGTACCATTTTAACCATTTTACCATTTTAACAGACAGTCCATGGCATTAGGTATATATGTTGTACAAGCATCATCACCTCTACCTGCAGAATTTTTTTCATCTTCTCAAACTGAAACTCTGTACCTGTTCATCAATAATTCCCTATTTCCCTCTCCCCCACAGGCCCTGGCAACCACCACTCTACTTTTTATGAATTTGACTCTGTAGCTCATACAAGTGGCATCAGACAATATTTGTGTTTTGTGCCTACTTATTTCACTTTAGCATAATGTCTTCAAGGGTCATCCATGTTACAGCATGTGTCAGAATTTCCTTCCTTTTTAAGGATGAATAATATTCCATTGTATGTATGCACCACATTTTGTTTATCCATTCATCCATCAATAGATGTTTGGGTTGTTTCTGCCTTGTGAATAGTGCTGCTATGAACATAGGTGTCCATGTATCTGTTCCAGTCCCTGCTTTCAACTCATTTGGGTATATACATTCAAGCACCATTTTAAAGCAGATCAGTTTTGTTTGGGTGAACATTAAGGTCACACTCCCCATCTTCCACCTGCTACCTTTTCCCTTGCTAGAACTTTACCCCTCCTGACAGTCAGGTACCCAGAACTCTCAAGTGCCTGAATCTGATAAATCACCCACACCTCCAGGTAAGGTAGCACAATAAGAACAAGGAGAATTTATTTTAATGTTTTATGGGCTGAATGCATGCATGAATCTACCTTTCCCTATAATGACAACCATGCTGATGAACCATCCAAACACCCCGATGCCGGGAGCTTGTTCAGTGCTATAGGAAAGCCATTTGGTTGCTGGGATCAGACACCTGATAGAGAAGCCTGGCCTATTTACGAGCCCTTTACGCACATGATTTAATCTTTCTAGTTTCAATTTTCTGACCTATAAAATAGAGATAATGATTCCTATCTACTTGGTTGTTTGGGGAATTAAACTAAAATAAAACTAATTAAGGTAAACCAAGATAAGGTAAAGCACTTAACCCAGTGCCTGGCATATGATAAGTACCCCACAAATATTGGCCATCCTCCGTGTCGTTCCTGGGTAACTCCTCCAAACACATGCCAAGAAAGTTCCTGCCACCTAGGTCCATACGAGGACATGACAGTGAGCATGGAATTAATAGTCCCACTAGGCTAGAATCCTAAACATTGGAGATTTTATTTTTAAATCACAGGATTCAAAGTTATAATCTAGTCACAAGGGTTAAAAGATGTCTTTGGATGCGGAAGATTATTTTAGGGGGCAGGGTCCTCTGTGGAACCCACAAATTATACCAGAGGCCCCAGCAGCCAGTTACAGGTGTTACGTTTTTTCCTTGAGCTTTTTTTTTTCCTTCTGAGATTGCAAATGCCAGATAAAAATGGATTCCAGAACAATGGAAAATTGAGATGAGAAATGGTTACAGCAAATTTGGCCAGGCCTCCTCCTAGGATCGCCCCAGTCCTTCTGGGACATGTTCTGACAACTCACTGGCCTCTAAGCCTCTGAAAGGGGGTGATGTTCCCGCCATTTCCCTTGGAAGAGTATTCCACGGTGAAATGTGACTCACTGTCAGGGCCCTTGCCTTTGAGATTCCCTTTCTTCTCCTGACCCACTTTCGTCTTGCTGTGCCCTTTTGTACAAAGTCAAACGAAGCCTCCCCTGGAGGAAGCGGCTCTGCGCAGACTGACATTTGAAGACCATTACCACCTCTTAAACTCGGCCCTGTTCATTTGGCCAAGCAAAGCATGTTTAATTCTTTTAATCTTCCCTCATAAATCAATCTCTTCGTTCCCTTAATAGTCCTTCTCCTGTGCTTTGAACTCCCTCCAGTCTAGCCATCCTAAGCCCTTGTTCCCTGTACACTTGAGAATTGCCAGTCAATCACAAAACGGCTGCGCAGGAAAAGCAGTCGGGCCTCACCATGGTTCTGGGCGCTCTCACCACGCCGGACTGTCTGCTGCCCAGAGGCGCCCAGAGCCCCAGGAAAGCCCTGCCTGGCGGCCTTCACGCAGACTGAAGGCATTTGCTGCCTGCTCCGTTTGGGTCTTTCCATGGACCTGGCCCATCTGGCCCACAGTCAAGGGAACTGCACAGACGCCGCCTCAGACACTGGTTCCCCTCACCCCCCCCCACCTCCTCAGTACATTCACCTTTCGCTTGGCATCTACCCACCAGGGTGACAAGGGTCCCTGGCAAAGCCCAGAAGGGGTCTTACCTGGAAGGTCCCGGCGTGGTCTTCCTCCTTATCCCCCTCTCTGTTCTCTTTGAGGGCGATTAACGTGAATCCTCTGAAGTAGGAGGGAGGGGCAGCCGAAAGGGTCACTGGGGCGAGAGAAGAAAGCAGGTGATAAGCCTAAGAATCAGCTGCCTTCCATTTGTCAAAATGAGAAACGTTGAGTTCCCCATCAACATCGCACACCTGTGGATGGGAGGGGCGCGGACAGCGGGAAAGGCTCGTTCTGCTGAGTAGTGAACTTTCACCCTCTCCACCCAGCTCCCTCTCACATTTCAGAACCTTCAGGTGTTTACACCCGAACTGCAGTCTCACTTGGGAATTCTTGAATCCACCAAGGCTGTGATAAGCTCTTACTCCCAGCAACCACAATTTGATAAAAATAGTCCCTTGTCAGCAACTCCAGTCTCGACAGTTATCTAATGTTACTCTTCCATAGATTGGCCCAAGAGAAATCCAGCTGCTCACAGCATAAACTCCTGTAGGATGTCATTTGTGGCAGAGACTGCTGTGGGTTATCCAAAACACGTTTCCTATTTCTTGTGGGTACTTAGCTAGAACACCTTCCCAGCCTCCCTTGTCTGTGCCCCAGTCCTGCCAGTGGAAAGTGTGGACAGACATGACGCATGCCCCTTCCTGCCTGTGGCCCATGCAAACTTTCTACCTGATTCTCCATTCTTCCTCTCCCATCTCTGCCTGCTGAATGCAGGGGAGAGGACTCTGATGCCCCAGGAGAAGGACGGTGGAGCTACAAGATGGAACCTGGGTTTCTGAATAACCACACAAATAATCACTCATGGACCAGAAATATCCATCTTAGACTCTGCATAAACTGGAAATAAACTGATATTGTGGGGGACTGTTTGTTACAGCAGTTGGAGTTATGAGCCTACATTAAACTCTTCCTTCCCACATCTACCCAGAGAACTAGATATTCAAGGAAATCCAGCTCAAGGATCTTCTTAATGATGTTCACCCCTGTCTTTGTGTCTCCAATCTCCTGAGACGGAAATCCCTTCTTACAATTTTCACACTGGACTGCAACTCTCTTTTACCAGCCTCTCCACTGGACTATGAGTTAACACCGGAGAACTGGGTTTCAGTTCTCTTTGTACCATTATCACCTAGCACAAAGCCTGGCGTCTAAGAGACTCTCATTTCAACTTTCTTGAAATTGATATAAATTGAGGTTTAAATTACATTACTGCCTACATCAAAGTGCTAAGGTTCTTTAAACATAAAATGATAGACTATTAGAGCTATGCTAAGAACCCTCCATTCCAGCCTTCCAATTCCACAGATAGGAAACAAAGACACAGAAATCTCAACAGACACCCTCTAAGTAGAAAGACTACCCAGGGGCAGACTTAGGGCCCAGCTCCCTTCCCAGTTTAACACTCCACCCATTGTTATATATATATTGAATATATTTATCATAGTATGGGTATTCCATAAGTGTTGACTACATTTTCAAATTTTAAAAATTAATTCACTGAACCTGTAATACTTCTGTGATTCTAATAAGCAACTCCCTGTTGGGGAGGGGTATTTAGTCTTCTAGTTTCAGTCCTAAAAGTGAAACATCTCAAAAATCCAAAAATTAAAACCACCATCTGGGATAATAGCAGTGGTCCATGAACCACCGACAGGACATCTCAGAAAATGACTTGGAGACACAAAGACTGCCCATCTCCTGTTGTGATTGGTCAGCTCATCCCACAAAAGTAAAGGAGCATTCCGATTGGCTACTGATGTCTGTAAGAGATCAGATAGAAAGGAAGAAAGGATCAGGAAAAAAAAGCATGAAGTAAAGAAGAGTAAGAAATGATGGTTATAAAGTCAGGAGAAAGAGCTGGGATCTCTGAGGCACAGACAGACAGCCCCACAGCAGCCTGAGGTTATCTAGGCCAGAGTGGGGTGGACTTCAAGGTCATTCTACACAATTCTGGAGCAAGGGGACCAGAGGACAAGAAGTAGACGGAAAAGGTGCTCTGCCCAGATCGCCTTAAATTCCTCTTTACCGTTGTAGTGTTTGTTGATTTTGTTTACTCTTTAAAAAACTAGCTCTTTGTTTGATTGATTTTTTTTCTATTTTTTAAAATCTCTATTTTATTTATTTCCTCCCTGATCTTTACTATTTCTTTGCTTCCGCTGACGTTAGGCTTTGCTTGTTCTTCTTTTTCTAATCCCTTTAGGTGGTGGGTTAGACTGTTTATTTGAGATTTTTCTTGTATGGGGAGAGGGCCTGTATCACTACGTACCGCTGGAACGTGACCCTCGTGCTGATGTGCCTTTGCTGTGGCTAAGCCAGCACCTGTGGCTCATTCCTTTAGGACTGCTCCAGCTCAGGTCACTGGAGTCTGCTCTGCCTAAAATGAAAGGCTCAGCTCCCTTGCATCAGGTGAGGATGATTCTGAGGGGTACCTGACATCTCAAAATGGCCCTGCAGGAGCAGAGCTCACCTGGGGTCACAGCCTGGCAAGGCTTCTTCCTCCCCAGCTCACTTCTCCACTCCGTTATTGGCTTCCCCTGGGAGCACTTCTTTAACAAGTCACTTTCACCCAAATCCTCAGCTGAGGATTTGCTGTGGGTTAAGTTGTGTCCTCCAAAAATAGATGTGAAAATCTTAACTCCAGGTTCCTGGGAATGAGACCTTATTTGGAAATAGGGTCTTTTCAGATGGTATTAGTTAAGATGAGATCATCCTGGATTAAGGTGGCCCTAAATCCAAGATGGCCAATGTCCTTAGAAGAAGAGACTCAGAGACACAGGGAAGAACGCCAGGTGAGGACAAAGGCAGAGATTGGGGCGAGGCATCTGCAAGCCAACGCACAGCAAGGACTGTCACCAGAGGCCAGGAGAAACCCCCTCCAAGCCTCCAGAAGGACCTGACTCCAGTGATACATTGATTTCAGACTTTCAGCCTCCAGAACTGTGAGCAAATACATTTCTGTTGTTTTAAGCCACTGGTTTGTGGCACTATACACAGAGTCCCTAGGAAATGAATAATATTTGTTTCTGGGGAACCCAACCTAAGACAGACAGTCAGCCTCTGCCGCACAGTCACTGCCTCAGGCTACAGCTCAAACTCCATAGCCTGAAAGGCCCGCAGACTCTGCCTCCTGGGGGAGCTTCACCAACCACATTTCCAGTCCCCACCCCTCTACATTTCATTCCTGGGACTCACTCCCTGGCAGTTTCCGGAAAAGCCATATTCATTTCACCCTACATTAGTATTTATTTCCATACACTCTTCATACGCCTGGTATGTTCCACCTCCTCCTTCCCTGGCAAACTTCTTTAAAAATCAGCTAAATTTTCACCTTGTCTGTGATGTTTCCTCTGACTTCCCCATCAAGACCTGGATGCTCTTTCTCCTTGGACCTTGTTAAGATTAAAAACATCTATACGAGTCCATAAGATCAGCATTTACCTTAAAGCATCAGGGCAAACCATAAATAAATTAATGCACGTAAAGTTCTTAAAATCATGGTTGGCTTATAACAGGCACTTAATAAATATTAGCTCTTATAATTAGTGATGATCAATAAGGTAATGACCACATTAAATCATATTTAAAAAAAATTTTTATTGAAGTATAGTTGACTTACAATATGTTAGTTTCTGGTGTACAGCACAATGATTCAGTGATATATATATATGTATGTTCTTTTTCATATTCTTTTTCATTATAGGTTATTATAAGATATTCAATATAGTTCCTTGTGCTATACAGTATAAACTTGTTGTTTATCTATTTTATATATAGTAGTTCCTCTCTGCTAATCCCAAACTCCTAATTTATCTCCACCCCCTTTCCCCTTTGGTAACTGTAAGTTTGTTTTCTATGGGAGTCTGTTTCTGTTAGGTAAATAAGTTCATTTGTATCATTTTTTAGATTCCACATGTAAGTGGTTATCATACAGTATTTTTCTCTTTCTGGGTTACTTCACTTAGTATGACAATAGCATGTCTATCCATGTTGCTGCAAATGGCATTATTTCATTCTTTTTATGGCTGAGTAGTATTCCTGTGTGTGTGTGTGTGTGTGTGTGTGTGTGTGTGTGTGTGTGTGTGTGTGTGTGTGTATCACATCTTCTTTATTCATTCATCTGTCCGTGGACACTTAAGTTGCTTCCCTGTCTTGACTATTGCAAATAGTGCTGCTATGAACATTGGGGTGCATGTATCTTTTTGAAGCATTAAATCATATTTTTTATTTTATTTATTTTTTAATTGAAGTATAGTTGATTTACAATGTTGTGTTAATTTCTGATGTACAGCATAATAATTCATATATGCATATATATTCCTTATTATATTCTTTTTAGCCTATAATGAAAAAGAATATTAAATTATATCTTGCATGTAAGTATTTGTTTACTTATTTGTAAGATCTTCAAAGACAAGAACCACATCTTAGCACACTGATTAGCACAGAGTTAATGTGCAATTATATTTACTGAATCATGTTCATGGACTGGTAGTCTCAGCGTTGTAAAGTGGTCAGTCCTTCTTAAATTGATGTATATATTTGGTGCAATCCAAATTAAAATCCCAGCATGTTTTTGTGATACTGACAAGCCAATTCTAAAATTTACATGAAAATGCAAAGGGCCAAGAATATCTAAGACAATCTTGAGACAGAAGTGCAAGCTTGGATGGCTTATACTACCAGATATTAAGACTTACGCAGCTATAGATATTAAGCCAGTTTACTATAACAAGAAAAAAAAATAGGCCAATTGAACAGTCTGAGGTCCAGATAAAGTTCTACGAATATATGTAAACTTGGTTCACATTAAAGAGGTACCACAGAGCAGTGAGGGAAGGGCGGAATTTTCAGTGAACAGCTAGGACAGCTGGACAACCACATGTAAAGAGGTGACGTGGCCTTTACCTCGCGTCATACACAAAATAAATTTCACATAGATTGTAGAGCCAAAAGTGAAAAGCAAAACAATTAAAGTCTTAGAAGTTGGCATAAGAGAAAACATGAGTGACCTTGGAGTAGGAAAGAGCTTTTAAACAGGACATTACACAAACACTGACAACAAAGAAGATACATAAATGGAGTGATATCAAAATT